CTTTGTATATGTATACAAGTGCTATAGAACATTGATTAGGTGGCACGTGGGGTTTGACAATTATCAGAAGTTTAATTATCATAACTGACAGGATTTATGTTTCCAGTACGGCTTTGTGGCCTACCAGTAGTGAGTCAGGATCAATTCGCACGTGTAAGCGTTAGCGGATAACGATTACAGTGTAAAATGTATCGCATGATATTTTCTCCCCGTCGCTCCCTTGTTGAGAGTATGCGTGCGCAGTAAGCCGCGTAGTAAAATACTAGTAACTGGCAGCTTTCACATGTTACTATCTCTGCATGAGTGGCCCAAGCATGCAGTGAGCATTTAGTTCGCTATGTTATCATTCATCGAGACGTAAACCGGAAAAAGGGGGGGGGGGGGGGGGGGGGGGGGGGGGGAGGGGGGGGAATAGGAATATGGTCTTCCTTTTCTTCTTCTTCTCTAGTGGAGTATTTGTTTATGTGTGTTTTTGAATGTATGTGGGTGTCTGCGTGTTTGAGTGAGTGTGTAGGCGCGTGTATTTGGGTATGCGCGCGCGTGTGCGTATGTGCTAGAGTGCGCATGCATTTTACCACCCATGCTTTTTGTTGTTTTTTCTTTCTTGGTATTCACACTATGAATATTATTATTTGAATATAACTTGCTTTATTGATAAAATGAAACGGCTGTGTGAAAGACGGGCGTTTGGAAGTGTCGAATGTAAGCCGGGCCTGCGTGCCCAATTTGTGACCCTTTGAAAATTAAATTCGTTCGATCGTTTGTTCGTTCGATGGTTCTCTTCCACCTAGTACATCAGTGAAGTGTCAGGGGTGGGGGAGATTTAACGTTAAGTGATGAGCTCTGTCAAAAACACTATTAAGATTGCTGTTCATTAATGTAAAGTGAAGGTCCCTTTTCCACTCCTTTACGCGCTTAGGGCATATAGGGCTAGACCTAAATTTTATGGACCAATCGGCACAAGATGGTTGATGTGGTCAGCATCACGCCGGCTGCCTTTACTAGCCGAGACTGCACCCCGTACCCACTCAAGGCTGGGTCGACCTGGGAGCCAAGTTTATTTTGAAATAAGCCCGGCTTCGCCAGGGATCGAACTCATGACCTTCGGATCCGAAGGCGAGCGTCTAGCCGCCCCGCCAAGGCGACTCCGTTTATTTATGTAAAGCTTTTCTTTAAAAAGGTACGGCATCCATATGGTAGTGGTATCACTTCATATTTCTCGAGGTCTTTCACTCTCTCTATACCCGTTGTAACATTTCAGTGTGGCTCGCTGTTGTAGTATATACATCAAACAGCAATAAAAACTAATAAAATCATTTGTTTTTCTGTGGCAATGTAAAGTGTGAGCAACGTTACAGTTTTTGACCCAGTTTTATCATATGGATACCATTCCTCTTTTCAGGGATCGTCATGGTCTAGCGGCTTGGCGTTAGTCTGCGGGCTTTGAGGTCAAGGTTCAAATCTGGCAGATATCGAGCTGGATATTTTTGAATGACTTTGGTTCCCAAGTCGACCTAGCCTCAAACCTGTACAAGGTAACTTCATGGAAAGCAAAGGCGGCACTAAAGATCGTGCATTAAAACAAACTAATATTGACAACGCAAAAAGGACGTCATAAGCGTTACGTATTGTGTAAAATGTGTCTAAAATGTAGTTCTACCCCTATGTGCCCATGACATCTAAGTGTGTCGAAAAGGATCCTTTACATATGGACTTTTCTTCAAATCGTGCATATGTCTGCCACTTTATCCGTTTCTTTATTTTATATAATGTCTGCTTTGTGTTGCAAGACATGAATGTTTAACAGATGATAAGTAGCCGAGCCAGGGCATGTTCGGTCGCGTGATATCCTGTGACGCTGTGAAGTCTTGAGATATCAGTGACACCTTCTTATAGATCTTCCTCTGCCTTTCCGTGTTTTCATTTTCCTGTTATTCGTTCTCGCTTCAAGCATCTTTGGGTTTATTCTCAATAGGTGGCCGAACCATTTAAATCGGTTTCATGCGAGACGCATGTACAATCGGACAGTTACTGGTGCCATCGGAATTGTAACTCTTCGTTTACTGATGAAGATTGGGATGGAGCGCTTATGGTGGTCTCCCGAGTGCTATGATGTGGATTTTTTAATTCAATATTCATCAAATCTGTTTTTCAATGAATATAACATTGGGTACGGATCGAATGTCGGCGTCTGTGGCTTGAACGTTGCGAACGAGCTTGGTAATGCCGAGGTGCCGGGTTTGATCCCTGTCATGCGTTGTACAGTGTTACCGAGAGCTAAACATTCAGTTGGTAATGGCAAACTACTGAATGTATAATCTGTTTAGTAAAACAAGATAAACAAAAATGTGTGGTTGGTTCTGCAACGTCCTGTAAAGGATACGCAACTAACTTTTTTTTTACTGATCGAATACTTCTTCTTATAATCCCCTACTTTTACACAGATCTCTCCTCACTTAAGTCTCACCTTATATATATATATATATATATATATATATATATATATATATATATATATATATATATATATATATATATATATATATATATATTCTTGTGTGATTCCAGTACTAACCTATGGATGCGAGAGCTGGAAATCAACGAAAACTCTAGACACAAAATTAGACAGTTTTGAAAATAAATGCCTTAGAAGAATACTAAATTTCAAATGGTCAGATTTCCGAACCAATACACAAATAAGGCAAGAATCCAGGCAAGAGTATGTGTCTAATTTTATACGAAAACGCCGCTGGAACTATGTCGGCCACGCCCTTAGAATGGATAAATCAAGACTTCCTTACCAAGCCCTCATTTGGACACCACAGGGGAAAAGATCTCGTGGAAGACCAAGGGAAACCCTACGTAGAACTATCATCAGGGAAGGCTCGCTCATGGGCCACTCAAACATCCAAGACCTACAATGGATTGCAACGGACCGCCGTGCATGGAGAGTCACGACCTCTGCCCTGTGTGCCGCACTCGACACAAGAGGAAAGACTAACTAACTAACTAACTAACTATACATATATATATCTCATTTCATGAGTTGTTAGTTTCTCTGGTGTCTTGTTTGAGAATGGAGGTGGAGGCAGTCACTGCTGTATTACGCTGGCTTGAGAATCAACTGTACACAAATACCGTGATTGTCACTGACACACAGAGCATGTTGGGAATGGTGGAGACAGGTATACTCAGTGCAGCGTGGTAGGCATTACTTCATAGGTCCCGGGTAGTTGGCATTCTTTGGATACTCTCTCCAGGTTATGCAGGTGTTTTTGCAAATGAGCAGGCAGATAGTCTGGCCGGTCCTGCACCACTTAGTGGTGAACTGATGCATGACAAGCTAGATGTTGTGAGGGCCCTATGGGAGCGAGTGAACAGTGCGGCTGCGCAAATAGATCATAACGGTCTGAGGAGAATGGCGCTGCGAGGAGTTACCAGGTGATCTGGCCAAATCTAATGAAACAGACCCTACGATTTAGAAATTTTTAAATTTATCAAATTGAAAACATACACTGAAGCGCATGAAACTAAAAGCCGATTTACCATAAAATATCCTATTTCGTTTTTTCCCCCAGAATGCCATTTCCATGGCCACAGTATCGAGCGTTCCTGCAAATAATCTTCATCAGCACCAGCACTAACTTGTGTACTGTCTTATGCCAAACAACAGACAGTATTCAAGAAGGCAGACAGCTGATTCAAGACTTGTACAGAAATCTCTCAGTGCCCACCTCCGCGTCCTTATCTAACCCAGTCGATCTCATTTTCATCCTTGACCGATCGGCCAGCGTTGGGGACACAGGATGGCAATCGATACTTCGCTTTGTCCAAAACTTTCTGGAACATTTCACGATTGACCGGGACAACACGAGGGTAGCAGTGATCAGTTACAGCACCACGGCGTCTGTGGATATCGACGATTTGAGAAACGGGGAGTTGAGCAAATGTGCTCTGGTGTCTAGACTTCACAAGCAGATGTCTGTGAAGGTAAGCCGTGTCAGGGGGAATATGCCATTAGGTCAGCTTGGCATTGGTTAGTTAGTGTAGTGCAGCGGTTCTTAACCTGTGGGTCGCCACTCTGTCTTGGTCAAACGACCCTTTCTCAGGGGTCGCCAAAGACCGTCGCAAAACAAATATTCGCAGAAGTTATGGAGAAACAAGGAAAATAATTTTATAGTTGGGGGTCGCCACAACATGAAGAACTGTATTAAAGGGTCGCTACATTAGGAAGGTTGAGAACCACTGATGTAGTGTCTTGACCACTGTTTAGTGCTGTTAAGTCTTGGTCGAGGTTTAAATTATGCAGAACTTGCTTCGTTCCTGTGCCAGTGAAAATCAAATGAAATGTTCCCTCACTGCCCCATTTAAACAAAAACACACCAAAAAACATTTAGTCCCGGCACAACCCAGAAAGATGTGCAGGCATTAAACACATATTGCAGTGGCTGGAGGCGCCAATTCCAACAGTCGCCACCAGAAATGCGGTTTGTCGTTGATGGGAAAAGTTGGATACGATAAGTTGGCTACACACACGTAGAATTCTTACATAAGGTATTTCACCAGCCCGCATGTACACTGGCTACCGGCCATATTGATGGGGAGGGGTGTGGGGGCTGGAGGGTTGGAGTGGGAGCTAGTTGGCTGGACAAACGACTGGTAGAAGAGTTTGTTGTTTGATTGGACAAAAAAAAAAAAAAAATTAGGACAGCAATAAAAGCAATAAAATAATAACTACAATAATATCAACAACAGCAACAACAAAAACAACAAGAAGAAGAACAGAGCAACAACAAGAACACCAGTAACAATAAGATGAAATCAACAAAGAACAAGAACAGAAACAAAACAAAAACAAACAAAAAAAGATTCGCAAAAAAAAAAAAAAAAACGTAAAGAAAGATATAAAGAGCGATACCACCTTATCATAAACAAATTTAGCATGTGTATAGTAGCGCTAAAAGACAATGCTGTAACCACTTGCAACCTCTCTCATCCAG